GGCTGCTGGGTTGACTAGGGCCTGAAAGGAGGCAAGGACAGAAGAATGGAGTCTGATTATTGTGAAGATTCAGGGGAGAAGTGCAGATGAGCTGGATCAGGGTGTGACTGATGGAGAAAGTGAGACATGGCCAGACTCCAGGGGGAAAGGCTAGCAAAAAATAGAATTACCATTTTCTCAGAAACAAATGGACATTTCTCCAAAGTAGACATACAGATGGCCAACAAACATATGAAAAGATACTCAATCACTAACCATTAGAGAAATGCAAATCAAAACCACAATGAGATATCACCTCACACCTGTCAGAATCGCCATCATCAAAAAATCTACAAACAATAAATGCTGGAGAAGGTGTGGAGAAAAGGGAACCCTCTTGCACTGTTGGTGGGAATGTAAATTGATACAGCCACTAGGCAGAACAGTATGGAGGTTCCTTAAAAAACTACAAATAGAACTACCATATGACCCAGCAATCCCACTACTGGGCATATACCCTGAGAAAACCATAATTCAAAAAGAGTCATGTACCACAATGTTCATTGCAGCTTTATTTAAAATAATCAGAATGTGGAAGCAACCTAAGTGTCCTTTGACAGATGAATGGATAAAGAAGATGTGGCACATATATACGGTGGAATATTACTCAGCCATAAAAAGAAACGAAATTGAGTTATTTGTAATGAGCTGGATGGACCTAGAGTCTGTCATACAGAGTGAAGTAAGTCAGAAAGAGAAAAACAAATACCATATGCTAATGGACATATATGGAATCTAAAAAAACGATACTGATGAACCTAGTGGCAGGGCAGGAATAAAGATGCAGACAGAGAGAATGGACTTGAGGACACAGAAGGGGAAGGGGAAGCTAGGATGAAGTGATAGAGTAGCATCGACATATATACACTCCCAAATGTAAAATAGATAGCTAGTGGGAAGCAGCCGCATAGCACAGGGAGATCAGCTCTATGCTTTTTGACCACCTGGAGGGGTGGGATAGGGAGGGTGGGAGGGAGGCTCAAGAGGGAGGGGATATGGGGATATGTGTATACATATAGCTGATTCACTTTGTTGTGCAGCAGAAACTAACACAACATTGTAAAGCAGTTATACTGCAATGAAGATTTTATATATATATATATATATAAAACAACACTGAAAGTAGCAGCTGGAGGAAGACAGGAGATTTTGAGATGTTACATTTGACATTCCTCTTAGACATCCAAGTATGGATATATCTAAGCAGTTGGAGCTTCAAGTCAGAATTCAGATGAGGGCTTCTCTGGTGGCGCAGTGGTTGAGAGTCCGCCTGCCGATGCAGGGGACGCGGGTTCGTGCCCCGGTCCGGGAAGATCCCACATGCCGCGAAGCGGCTGGGCCCGTGAGCCATGGCCGCTGAGCCTGCGCGTCCGGAGACTGTGCTCCACAAGGGGAGAGGCCACAACAGTGAGAGGCCCGCATACCAGAAAAAACAAACAAAAAAAAGAATTCAGGTGAGATGTCCAAGCTAGAATTAAATATTTGTGAGTCATCAAATGATATTTGGATGGTATTTAAACCATGAGACTGAATGAGAATCACAAAAGCGCAGCAACTCTCATATTTTACAGTCTTCAAATTTATATTTATGTGGATTTTATCTATTGATATTGACTGTATTAGAGATTTTGCTTATTTGGATTATATCCATAGACATTTATCATATTAGAAACTCAAACAAGAAATGTTTAAAACAGAAGAGTACATAAGCACACACACCATTAACTGTCAAATGAGTGTGTCATATAGCTTCTAGAAAATTCTACGGTATGCTTGTAAGAGAGAGGGGAACAGACAGGAATTCCCTGGTGGTCCAGTGGTTAGGACTCTACACTTTCACTTCCAGGGGCCTGGGTTCAATCTCTGGTCGGGGACCTAAGATCCCCCAAGCCACGCGCCCCACACAAAGAAAAAGAGAAGGAAACAGACAAATCATATTTTAGTGTTAATATGAAAATAAAGTTGTCTTTGCCCTGTGCTAGATGCTACAAAGGGTGAAAAGGCAAAAGTTATCAGGGACTTCCAGACGAAACTTTGAAAGGTGTGATTGATGGAATAAATCAACAGATGTGAAAGTACTTGGCCATGAAGTGTTGGTCTTGATGGATTCATACAGAGCTTTATGATTATTGTTCATACCATATTGCTAATTTTCTAGCTCAGTGCATGGCAAATTGATATGTTAGCTGAGAGTCAAAATCATTTAGCTCCAAGAATTTTACATATCATATGTTTCGTCTGCTTGGCCACACTTACCATCAAATGACACTTTTTAAACTATTAATCAAAATGAATAGGCTTATGGCACTACATCTGGTACAAAAAGCACGTGATGTTTGTTATTCCTGCTCAGAATCACAAAGGTAAAGTTATTACATTGAGAGCGCACACCATGTAAATGTGTAATGCTGCAAATATCCACCATAATAATAGCAATGAACAGTAGAAATAGCTGAACCTTCTTAAGCACAGATTCCACATCATTTCCATCTTTGCATTCTGTGTAGCAACCAGCACAGTGCAAAAAGATTCTAAGGTCAATGTAAAAAAAATAAAATAAAAATAGCCTAAGGAAATAAGGAAAGGTTCTTGGCTTTGAAAACTTTCAGTTGAAATAAATAGAGACAGAAAAGGTACACTCAGGAAACAATTGAAGAAAATAATTGCTGAGTCCAAATATGAAAATATTAATTAATTTAGTAAATATTTATTGGATATTTTCTGTTTATGTTCCATGGACTTAAATCTTGAGAGCATTCTGAATAGTAAAGTTGTAAAATACAAAGTAAGAATATTAGTTTAAAGTTGTCCTAAATATCAGCCTTCCAGTGTGAATGGAAGATATGAATATATAAAAGTCGTATGTTTGTATTCATTGGGTGGAATAAAACGGGCCTTTTGTTAGGAAACAGAAAGTTATCGTTGATTTCAAAGAGGCAGGGTTGCCTCCATAAAGGAAAGCAGTTTCTCAGGGTAATAGCCTGATCTGTGTGCATTATGGACGTCTTCACTAAAAAGGCTTAGTCTAAACCGTTCCTATAAGTGATATTGTAGATGATGATCTTTTGGAAAGGAAGATGACTTAGAGCTGTATACCAAGTTATTATGTGGAAGGATGTCAGGGACAAAGCATGAAGGGACTTGAGGCCCAGTCTGAGAATATTGGATTTGATTGGACAGTAAATAACCATTACATACATTCTAGAACAGAACATTGATATGACGACCATAATGTTTACAAAAGATTACTTTAACAGCCCTATGTAGCCTGAAAGAAGTCGAGAAAACTTTGCAAATAAGAGAACTAAAGAATTGTAAGTATGTCCAAGCATCCTTGCACATTGCTGTAGTGATTTGGGAAGTACATCTCCAAAATAGCTGTGGATTAAAAGAAGGGATCACCTCTGACTTTTGGTTGGTTGGGGAAATGATTTAGAGAACATAAAATTTTAAGAGTTGTTTGCAGTTATTCATTCATTTTTTTCAGTAAACTAGGATCTCAATATAAGCACTAAAGAAAGTATGAAAGCACATTTTTCTCCATCAATAAATTCCCTGAGTAATGTGATGAATGTTATGATAGAGGAATGAGAGGTGGGCTTTAAGAATACAGAAAGTAACGTATAAATCAGTGTTTTAAGCCATTTGTCTTCCTTCTCAAAATGCTTCAGGGACATATAATACATTCTGTCACGAACAGCGACCTCGGTGGTGGTGAATCTCAAGGAGGGGGGCACTCTCCAGAGGAGGAACGGAGGTGGGTCACAGATAGTTAGAACAGTTGGGAAATAGCCCAGGCAATTCTGATACATCCTACTAGGGAGGGCAGTCTGAGCCCTTGGAGTCTCTGAACACCATGCTTGCTCCAGAAGGATGGCTGTTTCCCTTAGAACTCTTCACCCAGAGAACTTTCTGGGGTTTTGTCTGTTTGTTTTGTTTTTGTTTGCATTTATTTGTTTGTCTGATATATTTGCTCTAAAAATTTACTTTCCTCCTTCTCCCAGCCCTCCTTTTTCTTCGCTGGGGTCGGGCAGGGGGGGCGGTTGCTAGAGATAAAAGGAAAGTCATCTGAAGAAATAATTACTGGTCTCTGTCTATGTGAATATAGGTTTCTTGTCAGCCTCTCTGGGGCCAAAAAAGTTTTGCTTCCTCTGTTAGTTACAGTTTCATAGGAGGTTGAAGCAGAGTCCCATGCTTAGGGATGGCTTATCTGAGATAGTATCTCCCGCCCATGGTTCACTCGTTAGGAACATGGCAATGTGCTCTCTGTGTCTCTCTTCTCTCTTTCTGTCCAGAGAAGTGTTGGTTCTGTAAAGGATCATGACCTGAATCTGATTATCATGGATTAATAGATCTATGATCTCTGGATCCACTTATTTATAAATTGCTTATTCATAAATCAGGCATCAGCTTATTTATAAAGTATCCTCATACTTTATGAGCAAGTGTTTGCATCGTTTTGCCAGAAACAAACATCTCTTTTTGCCTTATGAAATAAGATGCTGTAACATATTTTATTTTTTATTTAAAGTTGCCTTTACTTAAAAGCCAGAAGATAATTTGCTTTTTATTGATCGAAAATCCACCCGGGCAACAGAAATACAAAGCCATTCAGCTTGTCATAGGTGATTTGCTATAGGAGGAACCTATCTCTAGCATGCGGATAATCCGTTTCCGCAAAGAAAGTACAAACTTTGTTTCCTAAGTAGTCTTTAACTGGAACTGAAATGTAGTCTATAATTGTATAATATGATCATATTATATATAAATGTAAGTAAATAATCACAAGTTAAACAAGGTTCATTGTAAAGATAAAGCTGAAAATAGTTTTACAAAAATGTTTGTTCAGAACTTTTTGAAACCGTGTGCATGGCCTCATGTTTTGCAAATAAAAAAAGAATCTCATTTCTTATTTGATCACTTTCAAATATGTTTTCTTTTTTTCTTTTATTCCTTCTTAGTGTGCACTGGTATGTGAATGTACAGCCCCAGAAAGTGTGAGCAGAAAAGATAACCTACCTTTTTTGAACGCAGGTATGTCCCTCCGTTTTGGAAACTTACATTCATTTCATATGAACATATATTTTATTTTTTCGGTGAACTCAGTACTGAATCTGAGCAGCATTCTTATAGAACCATTGTAGACACTTATTAAACCTTGGTAATCATGGGAGTCAGCAGAGTGGTGTTAGACTTGACAAGTCTGTAAGAAAGATATATAATATATACAAATACATGTATATAGCTTGGCTATATGGCAAGAAAAATTCCTTTTAGCTATTGGATTTTGTATCATCTGAAATGAGATATTAGAAGAGGGAGTATTAGAAATGTCAAGCTCTTAATTAGTTTGAGTTTTAGTTTATTACTTTTAATGAAGTTGTTAAAACAGTATGTATATGGATTCAGTAGGAAAAATTCATATACACATTTGTACATTCCTGAGTGTGTGTGTACACATATATGGGGTGTGTGTGTGTGTGTGTGTGTGTGTGTGTGTAGTGTTACTTATAGTAATGTATTTGAAGTTCAACAAGGAACTAAACAATGTGATAAATGATGACTTGGAGACATCTGGTAAAATTACAAAATATGTGATAATATGTATCTCTAAATTATGGAACTGATTTTTGAATGATAACATAAATTATGTCACCAGTAGTGATAATAATGGCAAATAAGTGGCAGGCGAGATGCCACTCATATGCCTTGCCTTACCTTGCTTTCTGATGTGTGCTATGAAGAAGGCAGTATTATTATCTCCATTTTACAGATGAGGAAATTGCTCAAGGTCACTACCTAGTGAATAGCAGGTCCAGAATTTAAATCCAGTTTTAATCCCAAGGCCTTTGCTCTTAATTACCAGGTCATGCTATTACTAAAAAGCCATTAATTAAAAAGTTGGTGTAACAATAGAATAAACCTTAATATTTTTCTAGCCTTCTATGTTGTACATTTCAACAGTGACGTGGATAGCTTGATAATCAGATTAATGAGTGATACAAACTTCAAAGGCTTACTAATACATAACCCCTAAACTATTAGCAATTTTCCCCTGCAGGAAGCCACTAATAATCAGGGATGGAGAAAGACAGGCAACCTTTTGACTCAAAGAACTCAAAATAAAATATAGCAATAAAAAACCCATTAAATGTACTTATTAGAATGAAGGATTAAACCAAAGAAGAGCAGCTGCTTCTCAACCTATGACCAAGTGATGTGTTTTTAAAAAATTTTTATTAAGGATGTAATACCAGGAGGGACATGCATTAAACAGTGAAGGGGCTACCCGGACGGCTAGACCAGCCATGTACCGTAAAGTACTTGATAAGTTATCCGTGTGGATAAAATAACTAAGGTATCCTCAAAGGGTCTTCCTCACATATATTTTTTTCACCTGAAAGTTGACCAGACCTTTAGTCCTTTATTTCAATATATCCAGAGAATCTATTTAATTTACCAGATGTCAATTTTGAGAAATAAAATTGAATGTGGGAGATACTACATTTATGTTAAATGCAGTTTGAATGAATCAAATTATCATCAGAATCATCTACACTGTAATTATAAGACACTTTTTAAGTGATTCATTCATGTGAACCTTGTAATTTTTTATGACCACAAAGAGAAATGCCATTTTAAAAAACTGATTGGTTTAATATAAATTTCAAAGAGAAAGAGAAAAATGGCTCCTGGAGTAAGAAAATATATCACCTAAGGAAGAAGAGACAAAGGGAACATAGTGAAAAGTAAATCTGCCCCTCCTAATTCTTGTGCCATAAAATCTGCAAGGCATGAGTCTTTGAAGCGTACTAACTCTTCCCAATCACTAGGGTGCAATTTCTAACATATGAACCGTAATATGACAAAAAGTGACATGGAAGTGATGGAAGCAGCTGCACTCTGCAATTTAAATATACTCAGTGGAGTGAAAGATGATTGATTACTGCTTTTCCCTTTTCCTGGAGGTGACAGTTTTGGTGGTGATTCTCCACTTAGGTCCGATGATATTTCTCAATGCCTTTAGTCCAGGCAATCCGGAAGTGCCTGGAATATATTTGCCACAAATATTTTCTATGAGCCTTCTTATATCAAGGAAAGACAAGGCTAAATGACAGTCAAATGTTATAAAAGCTAGATTTTTTTAAAAAAGTTATTTTAAAGTACAACTAAGTGCTATATATGAAATGTTTCTGTTCCAAATCTAAGTGTGTTGTGCACACTTAGCATATGTAGCTAGACTCTGCGCCTATGACTTTGGTCTGTGTGTACCTTGGTCTTTTGTTCTATTTATTTGTCTAAACTCAGCAACCTTGGAATTAATCCACTGTATTCCCATCTGGTAGTTTTTCAAAATCTTTAGGTGAAGGGAGTTATTGACATTCTTCTCAAGTCTCTGTATTCATGTATTATATGGAACTTGCCAGTCTCAAGTGAGTAATGAAGTTCTTCCTGAGTGAGTGCAAGAGGATGTCATAGCTCATAGCTGGTCCTCACTATTCTATTTATATCTCTAGAGGTTTAACGCATGACTTGGGAAATTCACTTATCTATTGTGAGACTACAAAGAAAGAGCTCTTCCCCCTCGGGCCTCACCTTTTTCATGCCCTGTTTGCCTCTCAAGTTGAATGTGTATGTTGGGAGCCTGGGGAGTTGAAGGCAGGAGGAGAAAAGAGATGAGAAAAAGGAGAGGGGGCAGAATTTACAATTCCATAAAAAAGATATATAAGTACCTTAGTTATAGGAGAAAACAAATTCCTTTCAGCTGTTGGCTTTTATAGTCTCTGAAACAGGAAGTGCACTAGAAGGTGGAGTATTAGAATTGTGAGGTTCTCATTTTGCTTAATTTTTTAATTCTGCAGTTCATCAAATAAAGTTGTTAAAATAACAGATTTACCCATTTAATTATTGGTTTATTCATTTAAACAAATGGTAGTGAAAGCACTTAGCACTGTTTGTTGTTGAGGTATTGTTTGGGGCATGGGGGTAGGGGAAGTTATTTTTGAACAGAGGGAAGTGTAGACAGCAGAGTCTCTTATCTGGTCATGGAGTTGGGTGTCCTACTAAGTCTCATCAACTGAGGTGCCTTGCCTACAGCAGAACAAGAACACATGTGCTCTGGTGGTCTTAATATCAGAGCACTGGACAGACTCTTCTGAAGAACTGGTGTCCCAGCCTAAATTTGCTAACCAGCAGTGTGACCCTGCCAGACAAATCAGCCTCTTCGGACATCAATTCTTTTGCAATGAGCAAATTGACCTGGACAGTCTTTGATTTCCTTTTTGGCTCTCAGTGTCTGAAGTCTGTAGAGCATAGTTTAGCTTTTGCTATGTCTTCCTTCGTTTTAGAAATACTTCATGAAAGTATTCGTTTTCATCAGTCTCACATGGAGTCACATATCTATTCTTTGTCACTTACAGTTATCTTTCTCAGGAGTTACTTATTTTTAATAAGCCTGACCACAGATAAGCTTTTTAAACATTTTTCTCAAGGAGACAATTCTCTCTAGATTTCCTGAATCTACCAATTTTCCTTGTAAAAGTATAATGCTACAGAAGACTTCAGTCCATGGACTTTGATATTATTATGCCCAATCTGAGGAGCTAATGGGCCCTGTCACCAAGTTTCCTATTATCTTCACATTTCAAGTGAGTTTCCCCCTGTCAGCAAGCATTCGATCTGATACAGCATCTTTCTTGGTTGAATTCAGTGCTGCTTGAGTCATGAAATTATCCTTGATATTTTTTAAAGACGACTTTCATGCTTTACATTGAAGTGTGTGCTGTCCATTGCCCTCACAGAGGGTGTATCTGACAACGATGATTTCCATGACTGGGTAAGTTAGAATCTAAGCCACAATGCGGGGGCTACTCTGCTTTCAGTCCTAAACACAGGCAATTTCCCTCCTGTTTGGAGAATTTATTGGTGTTTTTCTTCTTGCCTCACAGATAAATCACAATTTTTCTCGAAATAGTCCACCATATCTTTGATTCTTTTTCCCCCAATAGGATTAAGCCATCTACTACTATTGCTGTACGGAAGATGCCTGATTGTGTGCTATTTAAGAAGAAATGTTGCTTATTTATTTCTGTGTCTCCAGGGCCAGAATACAATAGGTACTCAGTAAATATTTGTCAAATGACTAATAATGGGTATATCTTATCGTTTGAATTGACACTTCAGGTAACAGAAAACTGCACTGTTATTCTTCTCTCCACGAGAAAGATGTTCAAATTGAATTATTTAGGTTTGAAATAAAAGAATTTATTACTCTCCCTAAAAATTACTATGAAATTCTCTTTTTTTTTTTTTTTTTTTTTTTTCTTTGCGGTACGCGGGCCTCTCACTGCTGTGGCCTCTCCCGTTGCGGAGCACAGGCTCCGGACGCGCAGGCCCAGCGGCCATGGCTCACGGGCCCAGCCACTCCGCGGCACGTGGGATCCCCCCAGACCGGGGCACGAACCCGTGCCGCCTGCATTGGCAGGCGGACCCTCAACCACTGCGCCACCAGGGAAGCCCCTGAAATTCTCATTTTAAGTTTTCTCCTGCCTCATATGGCACCATAGACTTTAACTGCCTTGTTCACAATACCACACAGCTGAACTGAATATTGGGTGACATTCTCCTCGCTACCACCTCATGTAAAGCAAGGCATGACGGAATATTTTAGGAGATATTCTGAGAGACATTGAAAACTATTTCCCTCTATATTCATTTTGAGTCCTGAGTAATTCCAGCCAAAAAACAAATCCCATATTCCCCGTTTTTTCTTTTCATTCATGAGGTACTAAATCAACTACCTTGTCAAATTTTAAATCATATCAATTTATGCTAACAAAGATATCTCTGTTGTATTTTCTCCATACTAGTTTAAATAGATTTTGCCCTTGTGTTTATAACCCTATGATGTGTAAAATATGGGACCATCTTGGCTTATAACATTGGCCCTTTATCCTTTATACTTACTTACTCACCAGATTTCTTTGCCCTTTGCTGTTTTAACAAATCCAATGGAGTCCATTGTCTACTGAAAA